CATTCTTGGCGTTCGACTCGCGGAGAATCTTGATGTTGTGATGTAAAGCTTCAATCTCAGCGTTGGCAGCCTTAAGGAACGCCTCCGCGTTCTCACGAGCCATGATTTCGGGTGCCACCGAACGTACGGCGGCAGCAGCCTCGGACTGAGCAAACCGCAACTGACGCTCCAAGCCGGCGACTCGCTCGGGTAATGCCGACAACGCGTCAGGAAAAGGTTGTACCGCAGCGAGGACATCATCGAAACCAACAGCAGCCTCGAGGCGACGTTGAGTGTGTACATCGCAGTGGAGAGGAGGCGCAACGCTGAGCTGCACTTGGTGACGAGCCATTGCCGTCTAGTACGGAATTATCGAGGTCATCATGTGATCGACCGATGCCTCCGTATTCTCAGCCAGCATGGCGCGCAGCGAAGCTTCGGTGAGTGGTGGTGGACCACCAGCTGGGGCAGGAGGAGCAGCAGGAGCCATCTCCGCGGATTCAGCGACGACGGGGAGTGCTGCAGGAGCTACCGCAGGAAGTGAAGAGTCTGGGGCAGCGGGCGCCGGAGGACCGGTTGATGACGCTGCTGTCGGAGGAAGTGCAGCAGACTGAGGGGCGTTCGAACCCTCGGTCTTGCCCTCCTGAGAAACAAGTCGAGTAATGCGAGGTGATGAGCAAGGTACCGATGATTCAAGAGAAGGATGGGCTTACGTACCTCCAGCTGCTCACGCTCGCGACGTCTACGAGGATTGAGACGCTGAAACGCGTCGGACACGACTCGATTCAGACGCTTGGACATACGGGGGCGAGATGGTGAATTGAAGAATGAAGAAATGTCACAACGGGCACCAGTACCGTGGCTTCCATTGCGACAGGGGCAGTTGTGGTGTAGTGATTTCTCCGTGGTTGCGGATTATCACCCGTCGACAAAGACGTGACACCGCCCAAGTTGTTCAAGCGACGAACCCTCGGTCGGGTGATGTACGGAGACGCCAAGGTGCAAGGGACTCGACGGCGTCACCTCCGAGTTTTCAACAAATATCGGATACGGCCCTATGTCACTGAATCCAGGCTGTCCTTATTATTAATAATGGACTGGCCGGATTCGCATTCAGCGGACCATCTACGGTACGAACCCTCAGTGGCGGTTGGGATGAGTTCGCGGAATACTCAGCGACCTTTGGAAGACACGTTAACCGTCTGGGACAGGGCGCGGACCGTTAAAGATGCTCATGCGACAGTGCAGACGACGCTTGGCATGCAAGAAGATCCATAACGGATCATTGTTCACTTGATATTTGTATACTTGATTAGGACTTCTTATTAGGAATAGACCCGAAAGGGTAAGTTTAAATACAGAACAGAATTTCCACTCAAGCACACAGAGCGACGTCCGGCTTCAAGGTAAGCGTCAGGTCAAGCTTGTTTGAGTTTGTTATGCCTGTCGGTGAACTCGAAGCTCTGTAGCGAGGGTTCATCCGGCAAGGCCAAGAGACTTTGTGTATTGGCCGATTATTATCGGGAGGTTTTACGTGACGGCTTATTGTTGCCTATTTGCACGACTGGGATTGCTTGAATTGCCTCCCTTTTATTTCTTCCAGCCGAGTGTTGAACACTCGGTGATCTCGTAAAAGGCTTATTCGTGCCTGGTACCATTCCGCTGTTGGGACCACGAGGATTCAAAACACCTGCTAGCTTTGCTCGTGCTAGTAGCGTGTTCTTATTTTACTGGTTGGCCTATATAAGTAGTTAACAAGGTCCAGTTTGTCCCGGTGCAAGGGCAGAACTGGGGTCTTCAGGTCCGCCCGAGCGATCGTTTACTATCCTAGTAGACGTATTGTTGTGGGAACATCCTAACTACATCTGTAGCTAGAGTTCACGTGGGATTTCCAACACCACAAAGTACCATGCCCCAGGAAAGTGGTTCAGACAAGCCAAGGTAGGGGGCAAGATCAACAATGAAAAAGCAATCCTACTCCTAGATAGTGGTGCCGAGGTGTCTATACTAGATACCGCCTTTGCTCGTAAGGTTGGGTGCCAAGTGGATGGAAGTCGGATCCAAGATTGTGTTGGGATTGGTGAAGGCGTGTACCGTACGAACGGAAGAACGCGGATCAAGATCACGTTGGCAGGTTGTTTGGTGTACTGGTTTGATATTTGGGTTGGAGATCTCGCTGGTCAAGACGCCATCCTCGGGATGGACTTCATGGTACCAGCCGGAGTGAGGTTGGATCTGGCGGATGGGACACTTTGTTTTCCTGACGAGATGCGGATCCAGCTCAGTGGACGGCGACCGTTGTATGGAGCGAAGATGAGGATCATAAGGGCGGATAAGATGACCTGGATCGAGCCCGGAGAAACCTGGGAACTGCCAGATCGGTTAAAGTGGGTGGAACATGAGAAACTGTGGGTCACTCGGGGCGAGAAATGGGTGCCTACCGTAATCCAGGGACCAGGTCGATCACAATACCTCCAGGTCACGAACGTCAGCGACAAGAGACTATTACTGGACCATTATGAGGACATCGGACGATGGTTGGCGAAGGTCGGTATCCCAAGGCGACCTGGATATGTGTCAGTGGGATCCCGTCGTTACAGAGAATGGCAGAATCTGGCGTACGAGGCGACTATCGAGATTGAATCGCTCGGAGAAGGGGAGGCCCCGGCGAGGCCAACTGGCCCCTTGGTGGATCGGCCTTTATACCCAACTCCGCGAAAGATCCTGCAGAGGGATCGTCGGATTGAGATTTAAGCGATGGAGGTTGGATCTAAGACCGGGGATGATCCCCAGAGTCGGCCCCTAGATAACGCAGGGTCGGTGGATGAAGGATCGCAGAAGGCTGAAGCCGGACCGCCAGCACCCCGTATGAAACGACGATGGATCTGGTATGAGTGATGCACGGGAAGGCAAGATCCACCAAGACCTATCTCGGATCCACCCTTACCTGGATCCACTTAGGTGGATATGGGATACGCTATGTACGGGTGGATCGGGTTTGGATCCTATGAAGGAATGGTGGTAGGTGTCATCTGAAGGTGGATCTAGCAACCACGGCTGATGAGAAGTCAAGATCCACCGCGTGGTGGCCCGGATCCCATACTTCCGAGCTCCGATTCAAGGAGGGAGGATCCCGCATAGAGTGACCTGGATCCAGGATCCAGGGATGATGGATGCAGTGGATCGCAAACTTTCGGGGGACAATGGAGATCACGGACGGTTGCAAGATGATGTTGGATGATTGGAGAGCTCAGATCCATGACGAGGGTACACTTACAGTGAAGTGGATCCAAGCGACCTGGATCCGGATGAGTGTACCCATAATAGGGTGACCATAATGATTACGCCATGGATCCGGTGGATCTGAAGATAATACAGCTGGGATGATGGGTCAAGGGAAGAAGGGACATGCAGCCGAGCCTGGTAAGGGATTTAGCAAGTGAAAGACATAGAAGGTAGAAATCCAGGCAGGTATAGGCTTAAGTATCAATACAGTCCTCAATTTGCACAGTATCACGCAAGTGCCTTCCTGCCCTCAAGAATCGGAGCTACATTGGCTCCGTGAAGGCTAGGAATTGCGAATCTAGTGTTGGTAGTGATAACTGGATAATACATTGGCCAGATCCTACAACCTAGTGAGCTTTCCTATACACGTGCAGATCCGACAGGTTAACCGAATTTACTACTTGGCCGGTTACACCCTAGAAGGTTCTCAACTCTCAAGATCCCGTCACAGGAGGCGGCAAGTACGACGCAAAGGGACTACAAAGGCAAGGGAACACACCCGTAAGGCAACCCTACGGCCAGATCCACGATCTAGGCCCCGGATCCATAAGCTCGAATTTTCGCTTAGGATACGGAACCATCCACGGGCGCAGAGTGAAGATTTTCCACTGCTGCTCCACCCCATCCCCACGTCTCGCCAAGACACTCAAGCGTCACCACTTGAGCTCTTCGGAAGTTACCGAGAGAGCAAGATCCCGCCCTACCGACGGGTACACAAGGTGAGGAAAGTTCAGCAGAACACGGATCATCGGGGGACCCCCTCCGTTAGTCGGTGCCTGGGCGCCATTGGTAAGTTGGATCCAGCAATCTCGCAGCTTTTGCTGATCCCGCTACACCACACCGGAGCCTGCATGCTCTCCCGCACATGCGCGATGAGCCCCTGCTCGTACGCGTCGAGCGCATTGACGCGCTCGAGCTGCTCGGCCGGTGTTGACACCACCAGGCTCTGCAGGGCCTCCATCCCGAAGATGCCTGCCATCTTCCGAACCGACTCGAACTGAGAGTCGTTCATATGGGAGAAGTCGTTCCTGTCCATGGCAACGAGCTTCGGAGAGGTTCAGGTAGTCTACCCGCGGTGGCGTGGGTTGACTACGAGTGCTACCTAGTGTGATGGGGTCACACAGCACCTTGCGCTAGCTTCCGAGAGTATACAAACTCTCAGTGAACGGCAGTTCACAGGTCCCCTCTTTATTCAAAAGTGAGCGAAGTGACCTAATTAAGGTAGAATGTAAACTGAGTATATTTATAGGCAGATAAAGCTTGGGTTTAATACAAACTATAAGTCACCTATAGAAATGCAATGTCGTTAACCAATGGTTGGCTTGAACGACCTTGGTACTTTGTACCAAATATCCCGAAGTATGAGGTGTCATACTTCATGTAACCAGGGTACACTTAGGTATACGTACCCCGTACATGGATGGTGTGGCAGATGCATTGAAATTGACCAATTTAATGGACGTTACCCCTGCCCTGCTATTCAAGCATCTCGTGTGTCGTTGGGTGTTGCGCCTTTGTGTCTTCCAGCGTCGTCTTTGCTGCAAGTGCGAGATATTTGGACCGAAGTGAAAGTGCCTCGACTATATAACTTCACGACAACTGTGCAAAAGCTACGCGATAACGAACTACTACGACTTGCCTATCTCAACGGAACCAACGAAGAACATACTCCGGGCCGAGTGCCATTTCTTGTAAGCTCGTTATTCTTAACTGTAAAAATGCTGGCCAGAATCTCTCTACATGAGAAGGCAACAGGGTCGTGTCTTCCGGGATTTGAGCGCTTCATTCGCTATGTCTTCTGCCTCGATCTCATCCGCCATCGCTGTACGAGCCTCCTGTTCGCCCTGCTTTCCATTACTCGCGTCGGGTATCACTGCGCGTACTACTTTATCACAGAAAGAGAGCTCGAATTCAGACACGCAGATGTTCGCTGCAGCTGCTGATATGCGGTATACGGTCTTGAGTACATTGTCTCCACTCTGCGCTGACACGAGGAAACCACCAAGCAGTTTATGCTGTCGAATGAAAGCTTCATGCTTCTCATTCGAGACGACGCGGTGAGCGACAAGGTCCGTCTTGTTACCCACGAGGTGCAAATTCATCTGCTTGCTGCCATTCTCGTTGGCTACTCGCAGCCAGTCCTCGACGTCACTGAAAGACTGAGCGTCTGTCACATCGTAACATAGTAGCGCCACATGAACACCGAAGAGGTACTTGCTCAGCATCTTACTGTTGATTGTCTGGCCTCCTATATCCCACACCTGCAACACAATTCGCTGGTCGCGCGGTAGTTGCAGCTTCTTCTCAAAGAAGTCGAGCCCGATTGTCTGCTTGTACACGCGAGCAAAGCCATCGTCCACGAAGCGAGCAATGAGACTGGACTTGCCCACAGAGCCATTTCCTAGCAACACGAGTTTGATCGCTGGGTCTCCTCGTGCCTGCATCTTCCAACCAGCAACAAAACCAAAAAAAAAAGCAATAGACGTTACGATGCAATGAGCAGAGTGAACAACCTCCATCGAGGCACTGCATTGGCTGCCTAAAATAGTTCCATCGCCTGCTTGCTTGTCGAGGGACTTGCTTTTATGTTTTATCAGTCGGAATAGCGTGTGACGCAGATCACCCCGATCGCAGTTAACGAAACCATGCCAGTCATGTAGCGAGCATCGAATCCAGTAGCGTTGACACCGCGGTCAGCCATGCTCGTATCAGCCACGGATCGCCCTACTGCCACCTGTTTGTGTGTGTGCGTCGGACCATTCACCGCGTTCTCTTCCACCGTATGCTTTTCCTGCTGTGATTATGCTGTAACCTTTAGCATGACACCTCCACTATTGCTGACTGACGCTGTGCTTGGATCGGATCTTGCAAGCATCAACTCTCGGCAGGTGTACCTTGCGCAGTGGCATCCTTCGGCGCAAATACTTTCTTCTTCTACGGAATTGTACTATCAGCATTATTGCAAAAGCACAAAACAGACAAGCCCTACGCACCCGTTCTCCCTTATTGATTGACTCCTTCTTGCCAGCGTTTTCACCCTTACCGCGTGAATGAGAAGGCTTTGAGTCAGCCTTCGTGAAACCTTCACCGTCTGCTCCATCGCCGCCATCTTTACCTTTTTTGGGATTGTTTCGTCCACGACCGGCATTTTTCTTTCCACCTTTGGAGCCACACTTCTCAGATCCGCGTGCCAACGAAGTATCCAGTGACGGAGAAGTCCCGTTCGCCTTGGCAGCGGGAGCAGGAATAGAATCGTTGGCCGTAGAAGCAGATTTTGGGGTCATGATGCAGAGTACTCCAGGCTGGTTAGGCTCAGCTTTCAGTAATGAATCTGGCTTGGTTGACTCCTTCTTCGATGATGATCTTCCGCGCGGCTTGCGGCTTTTAGGATCTAAGAAAACTAGGCACAATGAGTAAACCTAAAGCTCGCTATGCCACCCGATTTAGCTCGGCGTTTTACCTTGGGCTCTAGCCGCGTCGCCAGTGCCTTTCTTCTGACGATCCTTTGAAGATTTCACCTTATCTTTCGCCGCTTTTGGCTTCGATCCCTGTTCAACGCACCAGGGTGAACATCGTGCTAGCGCCCAAACCTGAATAGATAAAAGCTTACGTCTTTCTTTCCCTTCACTCTATGCCCATTCTTGTCAGCTGACTTGCCACCAGATTTTCCCTGCACAGTAGCAGCAGCACACAGAATAGAAGAACATATTTCTACACAACAGTGGAAAAATTACAACTTACCCTGCACTTGTCACGGTTGTGAGACTTTCGCTCGTTCAGGTACTTAACCAACGCCGCCACAGGCTTCTCCAGCGTCTCACCTTCTGCCATATCCACAAGTGCCTCAGCACTTGGGAGTTTCTAAAACAACATAAACCAGTCAATTCTCTTTTATCAGCCTTACAAACGACACCGTCCACTTACGTCTTTCGGTTTGGCCAGCTCCTCCAGGAACGCAAGGTACTCTGGATCACAGTCTATCGTCCCAACTTTCACGTCCTTGCGCTGCTTTTCGCGTGGGATTTTCTGGAAAGGGGCGAACTCAACGTCCAGCGGCTTGGTGCCTTCTTTGTCCTTGGTATCTGGGTAGAAGAATTGTCCGTGTAGTGACGCAATGAGCTTACGCGCCCTTTCCGGCTCCTTTTTCATGTCCACGTAGAGACGTGCAGGAGTTGGTGGGCGGTTGTTGCTGCGCTGGCGGCCAGGCACGAAGCGCCAGATCAACTCGTTCTTCACCCCATGCGCCTGCATTAGTTCACGCGCTTCCTGTTCCGAAGCCGTTGGGGGTATGTTGCGCACCACCAGCTTCTTCAGTACCATCGTTATGGCACGTGCGGGCCTCGCGGACGTGGCAGCGGACGACGACGAAGAAGTGGACGACCCACCGCCACCCCGGCCCCCACCGCGCTTGTTGCCACTGCTCCCTCGCTCGCGCTTCTTAGGCTTCGCGTTGGAGCTTTCGCTTCCATTTCTGTGGCTGCTGCTGCGATAGCGGTCACTTCCGCGACCCCCGCGTCCGCGGCTTTTGCCAGAGCCGCGGCGAGGTGGCGGCGGCATGATGGCTGGAGCTGCACAACAAGCTGTCTCTTGTGCTGTTATAAGACATTGCCTTAATTTAAGCAAATGAGAGGTTTGGATTTAAACAGTCCCTTCGGTAGTACTGTAGTCCCTTATACACTCCGACAGGATAGAATATCGGATCCCAAGGCCTAATCACCTCTACAGTACCTTGTAATATAATATGAAATCAAAAATGATTATTCTGAGGTACTCACTGAGGCCTCGGACAACCGATATCTTATCGTCCGCCTCAATAGCGAAGACTGCCCGGACGTGTTACGCGGCGTGCCACGTGCTGACATTGGCGGTGCCTCGGTTGTGATCCACCACCACCTGCTTTTCCACAGACAGCCATGTGCACGATGCTACAGCCCCAAGCACGCCACAGGCTGTTGCAAGGTTAAGCCCGACCAACTTGAGGCTGCACGTGAATGGGGATCGCGTGAGCTTATAGGCTGCATCTCATCGTTCACGATGGATACAGCAACCCAATACTGTCACACGGATTGCGAAAATTTCAACCTCTTCTGGAACATGCTGGTCGCCGAAATCACGGCACCCACCGGCAGAACACCTGCTGCTCAAGCCACGCTGTTGGCTAAATCAGCCCGAGCGACGCCGGAATCAGTGTCTCCTCAAGGCGCCATGGACAGTGAGGTGTAGTGATTTCTCCAGAGTCGCAGATAATGTGACGGGGTCACACAGCACCTTGCACAGAGGAAGTGCTTAAGGGTATTTACACCCGAGTGAACGTTACTTGTTCCCGGCCTCAGTGGGAACGATTTGATACTTAGAGGATTTAACGGGGTATGTGGTGTAGCGGGATCAGCAAAATCTGCGAGATTGCCGGATCCAACTTACCAACTGCGCCCAGACACCGACTAACGGAGGGGGTCCCCCGATGATCCGTGTTCTGCTGAGCTTTCCTCACCTTGTGTACCCGTCGGTAGGGCGGGATCTGCTCTCTCGGTAACCTCCGAAGAGTTCAAGTGGTGAAGCTTGAGTATCTTGGCGAGACGTGGGGATGGGGTGGAGCAGCAGTGGAAAATCTTCACTCTGCGTCCGTGGATGGTTCCGAATCCTAAGTGAATATTCGAGCTTATGGATCCGGGGCCTAGATCGTGGATCTGGCCGTAGGGTTGCCTTGCGGGTGTGTTCCCTTGCCTTTGTAGTTCCTTTGCGTCGTACTTGCCGCCTCCTGTGACGGGATCTTGAGAGTTGAGAACCTCTAGGGTGTAACCGACCAAGTGGTAAATTCGGTTAGCCTGTCGGATCTGCACGTGTATAGGAAAGCTCACTAGGTTGTAGGATCTGGCCAATGTATTATCCAGTTATCACTACCAACACTAGATTCGCAATTCCTAGCCTTCACGGAGCCAATGTAGCTCCGATTCTTGAGGGCAGGAAGGCACTTGCGTGATACTGTGCAAATTGAGGACTGTATTGATACTTAAGCCTATACCTGCCTGGATTTCTACCTTCTATGTCTTTCACTTGCTAAATCCCTTACCAGGCTCGGCTGCATGTCCCTTCTTCCCTTGACCCATCATCCCAGCTGTATTATCTTCAGATCCACCGGATCCATGGCGTAATCATTATGGTCACCCTATTATGGGTACACTCATCCGGATCCAGGTCGCTTGGATCCACTTCACTGTAAGTGTACACTCGTCGTGGATCTGAGCTCTCCAATCATCCAACATCATCTTGCAACCGTCTGTGATCTCCATTGTCCCACGAAAGTTCGAGATCCACTGCATCCATCATCTGTGTCCCCTGGATCCAGGTCCCTCTATGCGGGATTCTCCCTCCTTGGATCCGAACTCGGAAGTATGGGATCCGGGGCACCTCGCGGTGGATCTTGACTTCCTGTTAGCCGTGGTTACTAGATCCACCTTCAGATGGCACCTACCATCATTCCTTCATAGGATCCCACTCGATCCACCCATATATAGTATATTCCATATCCATCTAAGTGAATCCAGGTAAGGGTGGATCCGAGATAGGTCTTGGTGATTCTTGCCTTCCCGTACATGCCTCATACCAGATCCACCGTCATTTCATACGGGGTGCTGCTCGTCATGGCTAATCCACCACAGGCAACTTGCATCCGTGCCAGACAAACCAAATCCTCTCTAATCACTTGAAATTGTCACTGATTCGGGATAGTGACCCCGCGTCAGGTCCATTCTCTTATTTCTGAGAAAGTTCTTCACCACAATCGCCTCCTGTACGTTGTCGGCGCTGCACAACAGCGCTCACGACGTGCACTACCAGCATCCACAACCGCCTTCTCCTCTTCGTGACACATGTCTCCCACCAAGTGTACCAGCCAATCGCCGGGCAAGGCCCCATCCACCACTCCTCCGGTCAGCCCTTCCTTAATGTCACCCACCGATCTGCGTACTCTGGCCCAAGCTCTTCCGATCGGG